TCCTTTTAGTTAATTCAATTTGTAATTATCTAGCAGGACAGAGTTTTGATTCATTTGATATATATTTTGTCAATAACAATCACTACTCATCCTCTGAAAGTTGGGTATTGAACCAACTCCCTTAGGAAAGAACATCAGCTTTACGATGAATAAAAAAAATGGGGTACGACGTTCTTATTTTTCTTATTCTGAATAAAGACGACATAGAAGTACTCTAATTCCCCATGCAAAGAAAAAAGACTCATTGCTACACAGCTAGGTACAGCATATTAGATAATGCTGTATTTAATTACTATAATTTTAAAGTTTAGCCAGCTCAAGGTTTTAATACTTTGCCTGCTGCTTTCTTTTACTAAATACATACAAATAGCTTAGCTATGCAGTCCCATGAAAATGTGTATATAATCAGTATGTCATAGTAAGTTTCTTCTCAAAATTTTTCATTTTTCTTAGTAAAATGAAAGCTAAGTGGGGGAAGGGAGGCAGTAGAAAAATGAATGGCTTGATTATGTAAGCCTCGATTTTTCTGATAATCAGTCTATGCAGCATTTACCTAGAAAACTCAAAAGTAAGTAAAGACTGGAAAACCTAACCTTTTGTATCAAAAATATGGTTTTTTCCGATTCAGCTTTAAGGTACTTACAAGCAAACAGTCCAACAATTCTGTATATCTGACTACCAAAGAGAAAAACGCTCGATTTCGGCTGCTATACTATAGTAAGCTGCATTAAAATGGACATCGGTATCTATTTCTCAGAAATACCACACGTAAAAAATAGCTGGAAGTCTGGCAAATTAATGCATGTATTTAGGTTTGGAAAAAAATCATTTTGCTCCAGTAAACAGAAGCTAATTGTAGCCATTATATTTCCCCCTTTCGGTGCCGGGACACAGTATTTCGGAAAAAAGAGTGATGGAACTTAACAGAAGAGAAAACTGTATTAAAAAAATAGCAATTAATACTAACTAAGAATAAGTCCAATACTAATTTTTTTAAAAATCTCCCTTTTAAAATAATCTTAGTCCCAGGCCATCTCATTTTTATTCTACTTTACTAAACATGGTAATTGGCCCATCTAAAAAAACCTCTAATCAGTATTACACTAGTGCACCTCATATATTTTCACTAAATTTTTATTACTAAAACTATGTTACGAACTTACAAAATACTGCAAAAGCGGTCAGTAAATGTCGCTCAAATATCTGAGGTTCACACATCAACATTCCACACTTGCTTTCTGACAGCATCAGAACCCTTTATAACCTACATAATTCAGACGCTTGTGGTAAAATCCTTGTGCTTCATAGGCAAAACCATCTTGTAGGTAAAGTAACTGCTCCACAGAAATGTATTAGTGACATGTTTTCCTGACATATTTCAAACACTACAAAAAAAAGCATTCTCCAATTTACTTCCTTGCGTCCTCTTTGGCTACTGAATCAAACTCTCAACTGTCCAGTAACGTTTCCCTGTATTTTCAAACCACAGTTTAAACTTAAACCACTTAGTCTCCTTAGATGGGAACTTCATATCAGACAAAAATTACTCCTTATTGTGTTTGATGAATCCAGCTTAAAATAAAATACCAGCACTGCATGAATATCGGCGACAAATTACTTGTTTCTGTAATTCTGCTCTTTCTTATTATATCTGGAGAACAATTTCGTAGGTATACTGTGTTACAGTGTAGACCTCCTCCCACCAACCCACTGCTTGCCAAAGGAATTTAAAAAATATATCTTCCATGTGTCATAACAAAATCTGAACAGAATATAGTTGAACCTTTCAAAATTATTTACAAGTAAGAAAATGGAAATAAACAAATAAGCTAGTACCTCAAATTTACAAGAGCAACAAAAAGATTAAAAAAATTTAGAAATGCAATAGACGATTGTTAAACTAATAGAGGATTGTTAAACTAATAGATCTATCAATGGAATATGAAACCAACCCTCCTTTCCTGGTGACACATCACTGAGTTACTACTTGTATACTTCTACTGGTATAATGGAGAGCAAAATTTTTCTGTATATAGTCAGGATGACAAATTTTGAGATATTTCCATTTCAATACCTTTAAAACCGAGGCCTTCTTAAAGGACGGGGCACTCAAAAAGATCTACATGAAAATCCAGACAGGTTTCTCCTGATTTTTTGCCACCAATGATCTCTGTGTTTCACAGAGGGAAAAAAAAAATCTCACAAGTCAGGCAGTGTTCCTAATTCTCTGAAGAGCTTGCTGTTAATTTTATGGCTTTACAAAAAGACAAGTAAAATTCTGTTTCCTAAGTAAAGAAATACAGAAGGTTGCACCATGGCTGTAAAAATAGGATTCTTTCTGTTCTATATAGATGTCTCATCAATTTCACTTGAATGCTGCTTATAACAGAGATTTTACTGTAAATAATAGTCCTTAATGCCTATATGGATTTTTTTTGTTACCTAATAGCTTTGCTAGATTGGTCATGGATTTTTTACTGTGCTACGTATTTTTTCAGTACTTAGTTATATGCCTGCATTTTCCAACAGACGTTCAAAATATTACTGCATTCTGGTCTATTCCACTGTGTTTTGACACTGAAGTGCATTCAGATACTCATAATATAAAATGCTTATAGACGCACCTAAACAAAAAACCAGACTACCGTGTGATATATTGGAATGAGTGGGACTTTCTTCTGATGGGGGAAAATCTGCTTGTTCATAATAATTTTATTTAAAGCTGGGAAAAGGAGCAACGCACCTGGAATCAACTCACTGTAAATTCCAGAAATGCAAGGAGCCTCACAAAAAGTCTGCAGTTACCTTGTTTTTTAAGTAACCATGCAGAGCTGACAGCTATTAGCAGTAGCGAGGACTTGCATAACGAGGACTGGAAGGAAAGCTTAGTACTATCCATGCTGGAGTGATTTTAAGAGAATGAAGGCACGTATTTCTTTATGATGCATTATGTAACAACACAGAGGGCACTCTGAGGCATTAAAAAAAATACAGAACCCACATTTGATCTTATACTTGTTATTTATCACACAAATATTTAATAGTGCTTATAGTGTAAGGCTTATGAAACACCTAACATAGGAATGTTATCTGATACAAATTAGTTTGAGATGTTTTAGATGACATATTTTACGTTCTGTACATCTTTAGGAAAATATAATAGGTCCTATAATTCATTTGCTTCAAACTTCTGCAATACATGCAATCTCAGATAAAATAAAATTGTCAAAATCAGTGATAGCTGGACCTTCTGGTTCACATTAGTGCGAAGAGAAAACTGCTGTTGAGCTGACACATTGATAGATTATGAGTTCTGCTGAAGAATAGCTAAAAATGGTGATTCAATCTTGCTGCTACTATATAAGAAGAATAACAGAAGTGGAGATGGTACTCATGATATCATGTCTTTTATCAAAACCCTAAAGGGTTCTGGTGCATCGAACACATTCTCTTCCTGAGAGCTTCTGGCTCTAAAAAATAACTGTGTAAGAAACTGAAACTAAATTGGCCTATTAAAAAACCCAGTTCATTGGTGTCCTAAATTTATTTAAACATTAATATAAAGAGCAGATTGTTAAAAGACTATCTTTGGGAGGGAGGTGTGGGGGGGGTGTCCTCTCTCTCTCTCTTTTTTTTTTTTTCCTACAGTAGAGATGCTGGTCTTGTAATGACAAAATGGAGAGCTAGGAGGATTATGAAACACAAGTAACATGAAGGGCAAATCTGACTGAAAAAGAGGGAGAATAATATTCTAACTATTTAAAACTTAGCTGGGTTAGTGCCTTCACTAACTTAAATCAATACAGTTCCCCTGAAATCAATGAGGTGACACAGATGCATCCAAGACATATCTAGCATTTAAGATAATGCGGATCATCATCTCCTGTTAGGACAGTAAACATAAGCACATGTGTATAATCACTTTTCTAAACATTTCCCTAAGCTTTAGATATGCAAAACAGAACTTTTAAAAGAGGCACCTTAAGTACTTCTGCTATTCTACCCCTGGTCCTCTGTTAATCTGAAACTTGCGTGGTCATTTACGCTGAAGCGAAGTTAAGTTTAAACACTGACTTCTGTCCCTCAGTGCTTCATACTTCCCTGTGCTGCTGCATATCACCATGGAAGGCTCAAGATGGAGGGAATAGGGCCTTGGTGGCTTGTGCCTTCCTCCCCCAAACATCACCAAATGCTCCCGGCGCTTACTTCCAATACATCCATGGAGTTCTGCAACAACAGAAGGGAAAACAAGGCTTCACAGTCCTCATCCTTCACTGAGAGGAATAACAGGTAAGGAGAAGGAGGAAACAGAAACACGGGGGAGAACGGGAGGAACGATTTCTTATTAGAGGCTCACCTTTCCTAAAGGAAAAGAAGCCTTGACACAAACTTCATGACATCACAAAGATGCAGACAGGCAGGCACCTCAGATTTCTGATAACTCAGTGGGTTTGTTTCAGGGAAAGATTAAACATTCTTTTAATTTTTATTTTTACTTTTACCAAGGTCTCTCCAGTAAGTATTTGCAGCTTCTCCTGCAATAATTAATGTTTCATGTTGTACAAGAATTTCTTATCTTATTTAAAAAAAAGCTCTCCAACAAAACTGTGATTTAAGCTGTGTTCTTAATTTGAGGAGGAATGGGGAAGAAAAGTAGCAAGGCATAAAGTTCATTACCCTGCTCTAAAATGTAGGGAGAACCAGAAACTGATATTAAATAAAAAAAAAAGTCTCAAGCCTGTTCTGTGTTTTGCCTACAATTTTTGCACATGCATTTGCCTTTTGAATATGCAGGCCGACATCTTTAGGATATTCAGGCAACGTATTAACACATTGTGGATACGGGAAAGAAACAAGTCAGAAATATTTGGAGGGTGTGAAGCAATAAACAGTAACCAAGCAGAAATGTTTTACGCAACACTATTATGGTTTGACAGCAAAGCAGATTTATGCATTCTCCTTTCAAGCTTGTAAGCTTGGTAACAAGTGAAATGGGTTACATTTTCTGAGTTTGGAATGCAATTGATTTATGTTTGTTCCACGATGCTACGCAGCTCTTAAATGTACGAGCTCTTGCGGCTGAAAGTCTGCTTTTAGGACAGGCCCTGCAGTGACAGGCTGCGGCATGGCAGGGAGAGACCCAGGTAATTCTGGCGGGGCAGCGGCTGGCGATGCAGGACCCAGCAGGTATCCAGCCATCCAGCCAGCCCGCCTTACGTAAGGACTTCATTTTCGTTAGGCTACATCTCGCCGCGCGAGGCACAGGAGAAGAGGCTATTCCATCTCCCGGTGCAGCCCAGTCCCCTGTGCCAGGCCCAACATCCGCATCCTCGCATTTTTTAATTTATTTTTTTTTTTTTTCCTCCTTTCCGAACAGCACATCTACACAGTGGCGTTTACCTATTCGCTCGCGCCGCGGCTGCCATGCAACCTATGTGGGCGCCCGGTTGGCACAGCCCACGTTCATCGGAGCGATGCCGAAGAGGAAACCCCCGGTCCCTCTCCGGGCGAGGGGCGCGCTGCGGGCCGGCTCCGGGCGGGCAGCTCTCCCTCCTCAGCGGCGGCGGCGGCGGCGGCGGGAATGCTCCGCTCTGCGGCCAGCGGCGGGCAGCGTCCATTGCAGCTCGGCGGGTCCGAGTCCGGAGTCCGAGGGCTCCGGCAGCCAGCGGGGGCACCCGGCCCCCACTCCCCTAAACACCGCTGGCCAGGTGCGTTTATTTCTCATCCCGTCCGCTTCCCACAAATCCACCGTCTGCGGCCGCCGAGCCCCGGCAGCAGCCCGGCCAGCCCACGAGGCACCACCGATCGCGCTCCCCTCTCTCTCTCTCTCTCTCTCTCTCTCTTTTCCAGCTCTCCCCGAGGAGGAAGGAGCACGGCGGGGCCGCTCGTCCCGTATTTCACCGCCCCGGAGACGCCGCCACCGGAGCGATTAAAACAAAGCGGAGAACCGCCACTTTCCACACTCTTCGCGCACCGAGTAACGCGGCTGGCTACGGGAGCTCAGCTAGCAGGGACGAAAAACACGGGGGGGGGGTGTTAAAGGAGGAGAGCCCACCCTCCACCCCAGCAGCCCCCCGGCTGATGCCCGCGCCCGGCGCACCCCAGCGCTGCCCGGCGCACCTGACAGCCCGCCGCGCCGCGCTGTATTTCCCTCCCTTAGCGACAGGGGAGGGGCGCGCCGGCCGCGGCGCCGCCATTGGCGGAGGGCAGCGGCGCGGCGCCGCCATTGGCTGCGGCGGCGGCCAATGGTGCGCGCTGTATCCGGGAAGCAGGAGGCTGCGGAGCTATTTAAATCCTGCCCGGTGATGTCAGCGCGGGCTCGCGGGGAGGGGGGGGGGGTTCGGGCGGCGGGGCGGGAGCCCCTGTCAGCCCGCGTTAGGCGCAGCGCGGGGCCGTGAGCGGGAGTGGCCCGGCACCTGCCGAGCCGTCCCTGCCTTACGGGACCCCGCAGCGCCCTCCTCCCCTTCGCCGCGAACTTGTCTCGGTGGCGGTCCTGGAAGGTGCGGGTTAATTTCGGGGTGTTGGCGAGGGGCGCGCTGGGAGCGCCCGCCAGCTGTGCGAGCGGAGCGCTGAGCCTGCTCTCGCAGAGAAGGCGAAAGGGCAGCTCTCTGCGTTAAAAACACTTCTGCGGCTGTTCAGGGGGAGAGATACCTTCGCTGTTCTTTATTTGCACCCAGTGCCTTCCCGTAGGCTCGGTGACGTTGCCCCTCAATTCAGGGAGGGCACTGAGTTGGTGGAACGAGTCCAGAGAAGGGCAATGGAGCTGGGGAAGAGGCTGGAACACCGGTCTTATGAGGAGCAGCTAAGGGAGCTGGGGATGTTCAGCCTGGAGAAGAGAAGGCTCAGGGGCGACCTTATCACTCTCTACAACACCCTGAAAGGAGGTTGTAGCCAGGTGGGGGTTGGTCTCTTCTCCCAGGCAACTAGTGGCAGAATAAGAGGACAGTCTTAAGCTGCAGCAGGGGAGGTTCAGGTTGGACAACAGGAGGAACTTCTTCACATAAAGGGTGATTATACACCGAGGAAGGTGGTGAAGTCACTGTCCCTGGTGGAAAGGCTGAACGTGGCACTTAGTGCCATGGTCTAGGTGACAGGGTGGTGTTAGGTCATAGGTCGGACTCAAGGACCTCAGAGGTCTTTTCCAACCTAGTTGCTTCTGTGAATTTCATACTTTGAAGGCACACAACTTGCCCCTTGGTGTCCCAGGGTTGCCTGAGGTTGCCTCAGGATTTGATCCTGAAGGACTGCCACAGGTGGGAAATCCCAAAGTGGTTTAAAGGTGCATGTTTGGGCCATGAAGCAGACCAACAGCAGCTATAGCCACCTGGCTGATTTTCCTCTTCCATTTCTGATTCTGGTCAGGGCAGGTCCTGTTCTGTGGGTCTCAGGGAAGGCTTTTAGATACTAAAACCTGATAGATGCTACTCATCACAAATGTTCTGTTTTCTATTGTCTTCCCAGCACAGCAATCACAGATGGAGCTGAAATGGTGCTAGGTTACAACAGAAGAAGAAACAGCCAAGACCAAAAATGCTCTGGTTTGTCTTGGCAGAAAACGTAAATTGTGCTGTGCTTCAATATGCTGTAGACCTGTCTGGAGCTCATCTGGTAGCCTAATAATGGCTGAAAATTGGGATTGTTGAGTTGTTTGACCTGAGGCATGTAATCATCCTGCCTGCAGTCTAACACCCAGTACCCTGATGGTTGCACAGTTCTTTCCCTATCATGTGACCTAAACTGATCCATCATGTGACCAAAATGCAGGCATCTTCCTTTACACAAAGGTATGTCACTCATGATGGGAAGACCCATAAATATCAGGTAAGAGACTGCAAGATTTTCTCAGTTCTCTGCAGATGGATGTGTGCCGTGACCATAGATTTTTTTGGCCTACATAAGTACATGCATTTTGGTTGTCTTAAGATGTGTGTTCAGCTCTGTGGGTGCAGAAGGGCATATGGTGTGGTGACATGTGGAAGTGATTCCCTAAAAGCAATTCTGAATACACAGGAGGTCACTGAGCTGAACATTGTTGGTGCCAGAGAAGATTTATCATGAGGAAATTGGGACAGGAAGCCAGGAGCAAAAAGGCTTCTGACATCTAGAGGACTGAAGATCTCAACAGCTTCCCAAACAGGAAAGCGAGAGTACACAGCCTATGTTTTTTCATGATGAAGCTTCATAAATTCAGAGTCCTGGTTGGTATGAGAAGCCAGGCTTGACCCAGGACTTGACAATTAAAGCTGGAGGAGGGAGGGAGGTGGTACCCCCAAAGAAGGATGAAAAGCCCTTACTGTTAGATGTGAAGAAGCTGTCACTGAAACCATGCTTCTTTGCTGTGGCAGGATATGGCAACAGCAGTAGGGGAAAGCAGGGGAAGGCTCATCATGGAGGTGGCTCCTGTGAGGGTAAGGGATGGCATGTCATAACTTGGGGTCCTCAAGATGAATCTGATTTTCTTTTAAGGATGTTCTTCCACTGAGAGTCAGATGGAAGAATGCGAGAACCCCTTTCAGGAACTGACTCCATGTGCCTTTTCAGTCCCCTTTGCATTTCCTTGTTTTCCCTGTTTGGGAAGCTGCTTGGAATAAAGATTAACTCACTACACTCAGTGTGTTGCTTATGTATTGTATTTGTCTGTCAGTGCCACAATCTAGATTTTCTGTGAGTTACCAGCAAGGCTCAGGAATAATTTTTTTTGTTGTTTTAATTGAACTTTTTCCCCATGGTCCCTGGCTCCGTTACTTCCAGGGTGACTTGGGGAAGTGTTGCCTTCTCTAAGATATCAGATCAGCATTAGTGAGAGATGGAAAGCTGGGCAGAGGTGTTCATGGTGGTCCTGCTCCTAACTCATGTATCTTGCTCAAATGTTTGGAACTAATGATCATATTTGACTTCAGAAGAATTTTTTCCCTAATGTGGGCTGTTGCATTTGGAGGGGAAAAAAAGGGAAGGCGGAGTCATTCACCCCACTTGGCAAGATGGAATATGGTTCACTTTGTAAAATGAATTTGAATGTTTTGGGGGCAGGAACTGCTGGGCTGGATGAAGCCCTTGCCTTGCAGCAGTATAAACTTTGCTTGTTGGAAGGGGAGGGGGTGTTCATATATGTAAGTGGAAGATGAATGGATCTTTTTGGACTTCGCAGTTATGGCATAAACTTACTGGAACAGAAAGGAATGTGAAGAGTTCATATGGTCCATCCCACAATTTCACTACCATAAAGCAGGATCCAATCTCCCCATCTCTTTCCTGGTAAATATCCAAATTATGCAAATAAGGGATGAAATTTTATAACCTTCCCAGGCATCCCTTTGAGTGCTCTGCTTTCCTCATGTTAGGACAGTCTTCCACTGCCTCCAATTAGAACTCCTTATGTGTAGTTTAACTCCATTACTTCTTGCCCTACCCATTTAGAGAACAGGTTGTTCCCTTCCTTTTCACCACAGAATTTATGCTTTTGAAGACTATCGGCATGTGTAACTCCAGTCTTCTTTTTTTTTAATTTTTCTTTTTATTTATTTAAGGTTAACCAAACTTGTAATCTGTTCAATTTTTGATCATCAGCAGTTTTTTCTAATTCTCTTCATATGACCCTGGGAGACAGCAATTCCTGACCCCTCCTCACTTTGTCCTACACATCTGCTTAAGAAAGGTCTGGAGAAACAAGGCTAGTAGTTATGCCGATATTTCCTCAAACTCTTTTTTTTTTTTTTCTTGTAAACAACTGTGCTGAATGAACAAAATTAATGGCAGGTGAAATTTGCAGCCCTGGGAAAGGAGCATACACTGCAGAGGAAGATGGATGGATGGTGCTGAAGTGGTGACGTCAGCTCTGAAGAGAAAGATAGGGTCAGCTGGGTGCAGCTCCACTGAAACAGGAAAAAAAAGAACAAACCCCAAATTTTAGGATGTTTAAGGAAAGAGGATGTTGGATGATGAGCAATAAAATATTACTGTAAATGATACTCACTGGAAATCATGGTGTATTGCAGCAGCTCAGCTTCAGAGTTTTACAGGGTCTACAAAGATTGCAGTTAAAGCTGGATAAACTCAGGTGCAGAAAAACTAGGAGGCATGTCAATAACTGAAGCTCAGACAAGGCAGAACTCCTCTGGAAATCTCTTCCTAGTCTCAACTCTGCTTCATCCTGGCCAATCTTTAAAAATCATTCCTGCTTCATACTAGAGATATGTAATACTGTCATTTTGCAGAAGGGTCTATAACACTGTGTAGAATTCAGCTGAATTCAGGCTACAAGAGGGGGTTACTGCAGTCATCTGATTTAAAATATCACTGATAAAAATTTTCTTTTAAATGTTCTGGTCAGGACTAGTGAAGCTTTTAAATTTTTAAATGTGTTTTATGTGGAAAATCCCTCTGTTAAATAATTAGCAAGTGCTTTGAGCATTACTGCATATTTTATATTTCATCTGCCCGGAAGAAATGGACGGTTCTGTTGCTATAGATTAACTGCAATTTATTTTGTAATACTCTGACTGCTGGAAGAGAGAGACTTATTAGTTTACTTCTTTTACTTCTGATTATTCAAGGAGTGGGGTTGGACAGAAGGGTTTAACCATAACTTTTCTTCTATTCCCAGTCCCAGCAGACATTTGAGTTCACAAAGAAAGAAATCTGTACAAGCTGAAAATGTGAAAACCAGAGACTGAGGGGTTCAACAGTATGAAGGATTGCAGGGCTGGATCTTATTTTCTTGGCAGGCACTGGCTACTATGGTTTATTTTACCTTTGACATAGCCTTATTCCACATTTCAGTGTATTTTTTTCTTAGGCAGAAAAAAAAATAAATCATTGCTGCAGCTGCTGTTGCGTGAATTAGTCTTAGATACCAGTGGACACTAATTGTGTTTAAAATTAAGAATTTGGCACAAGAAGCTGTTCAAATTTAACCTTTTCTTCACAGAAATGGAGTTACAAATGATTTTTTTTTTTCATGGAATGAAGGATAAGATCACCTTTTAATTCGTTTTGATGATCAGATCTGTGTTTTTTATGCTCTTTGAACAGTAGGTTGTGTCAGAAGTGTGGCCTTGGCTCTACTATGGGTATTTTTGTACATCTTAGGGTTTTTAGGCTATACCAGTAGGCCTCAGAAAGCAACACAGCATGGTAGCTGTCACATCTGTTTTCCTAGAAAGTTGTTTTGTCCTGTTTTCAAGACAAACTTCGAATTCTGAGATGGTTTTGTATCCTTAGCACTTTGATTGGTAGCGCAATTCCTGAAGGAAAAAAATGCTTCAATATTCATATGTTGGACCTAATAGCCCTCCTGGCAGTCAGTGGGAGGCGTTAGTATGCCAGAAGGTGCAGTCTTGGGCTGCAGCAGTCTTTCAGCCTGAAGAAATTTCCCTACATTACAGAATACAGGCAAATGTTGATTAACCAAATGTGCCTACAACACATAAAAGTTCTCAAAGAGCATAAGCTAACTTCTGACTTTTCTCCTCTGGTGTAGCACCAGTGGTTCAGATGTCTAAACAGTCATCTTCTTAATTTTGCAGCCCTGCTTAGGTGGCCAACCCAGTTTGTTTTCTAAGCTGTTTTATACAGAAAGCCATTACCTGCACATACTGTCTCTGAATGCACTGGGGCTCAGGTGTATATTTTGCCCACATCAGTTTCTTCCACAGTGTTGCCTGGTTAGCACTTGCAACAAGCATCCTGTGCAGCCTTTAGAAAAGTCTCTTCCAGCTTGCTGGAGACAAACATGGAGGATGCTGGTGACCATCAGGGAGTATAAAGACGATGGTTGCAGTGGTACTTGGTGGTCTGTTAAGGGCCAGATCCCTAGTTAGGCCAACAGGGATTGCAGGGAAAAAATGAAAGGCTTGAATAAAACTAATTCTCCATTCTGGCAATACAACTGGGGAAATACGTGTTTCCTTGCAGCCCTGCTGTGGCTTGCAAAAACTCTTCCATCTCCAAAACAGTGCCGAGACTGATGCCAATGAAAATAACATGCAGAAACATTTTTTTAACATGTGCCACTCATTTGCAACTCAAGTATGGGGAACTCGTGTGTGCTGAAATGAAGGGTGCAGAATAGAACAGACCAATCTGTTTATGAAGACTGGAGGGTTTATTTACCATCACTGAGATTTAGATTTATTTTTTTTTCACGTTATTTATTGGTATTTCTAAAATGCTGTTGAACTGTAGCTTTCCTGTTGTGATAAAGCTGAATGACTAGCATCTTGATACTTTGTTAGTAGCTTGGCAGCACATACCAAAAGGCAGAGGACACCAAAGAAGGCCGTAAGAATGTGTTCAAAATAGCATAAGGAGGAATTTTATGCAGTATTTCCTATGTACAATGTTCCTAAGGCAGTGTGAAATTTTACTTTATTCTTTCATGAAACATCTTTACATATAAGACAAAGTCTATTTTTTAAATATTGGCTTGTTTGGGCAACTACTCTTAGGTTTGGGATGAAGTATAGTGTGATGTGATATCGTGTCACTATGCAATATTAATCTCTGTATAATTGTCCATAAAGGGCAGGGAACTTAAGAGGAATGTCCTTTTACAATCCTCTCTAACGGAGGGAGAAGCTTGTCTACTGAATTGCCCAGTTTGTGGATTATTTTTGTTTTTAAAAGTTATCTGTCACTTTTCAGTGTTGCCTTTTTCTCCTCACAATCCAGAAAAAAACCCTATTCAATAGCTGGCATAAAATTTAAGTCCAGAGGTGACTCTTACAGTAAATACCAGCATGACATCTGATATAAATTCTTGCCTAAAATACCTGTGATAAAGCTTAGATCCTATAAGTATGCATATGTATGTATTGGTCCTAGAGAATGATCTAGGTGGGGGTTAAGCACCATGCTCCAAAAAAGCAAATCCATGTAAACCACTCATCACCTCTTCATCATCTGAGCATATGCAGACACCTACCATTTTTGTGACACTGCTTTAATCCTGTGTGGAATGGCTTCATAAGGACAGCTGCATCTTTAGCATACATGAAAGCTTACTGAGCTCAGTACAGGGCTATTTCCAGCTAAGAATGCAAAACAGCAGAGACTGTTGTTGTCCACCTCTTTCCTAATGGCTGGCTAATTACAGGATAGAGAAGGACTTACTGAGGAAATCAGACTTTCAGTACCCTTAGACAACAATTCTCACTTATTAGATGACAGATCTCACTGGATGAGAGTGGAATCGTGACACATCCTCTTCCATGGTTTTCAGAGTTGATTTATACTCTCTGCCATGCTTGCATGGGACTGTTTTACTTTCTATAACCACTTAAAATGCTATGCTCCTCCGATTTCTCTGGAATTTGTGGTTTGTAGTAAGGAAAGGGATAATTTTAACACAAGAACTGAAATTGTACCTGACTCCCAAGTAGACAGAAAAATATCTCTAATGCTATTTCCTTAGGTCTTTAATTTCAAAGATAAAAAATGTACATCTTTGCTCTGGTACACATACTCTCTACCTCAACTTCTCTTGCATCCTTTGAATAATTATTCTGTTAGGAGTTGTAAGTCACACAGTGCTTTTCAATTCATAAAATTTAGCATACAGGAGAAGTACATATCAAGTTTAAGGACCAAAATGGAGCCATCAACCACTCACGAGGCAACACTGGCAAGAAGGAGCACTCACAGCTTCTTGTCCTGAGCAATACAGAACACCAAGCAGCTACTGGGTTAACTTGTCCTAACACAGAGCAGAAGCCCCTGGAGTGAATCCAGCATTGCTTATCTAAGAGCTGTGTCCATGTGTTTGATTGGTGTCCTGTTTTGTTTTTGTTTTTCCAAGGGAATCATAACTCATTTGCACAATCCCTAGTCCATAATGAATACACCTACTGGGATTTATAACAGATAAAGGAGATTTGCTCATGAGGCAGCAAAGCACGCAGTAGTAGAAAGGATAAGGAGTACCCTTTTCATTCTGTTGGATAAGAATGGTCACTTAGAGCAGGATCTAATTTTAATTTCTAAGTTATCCAAATACCCACATCAAAAAAGGAAAACAAAGAGAAAACAGGTCATTATGGGCAGACTGGTATCATAAGTACTTTGGTATCTTGCTTTTGTATGTTGCATTCAATACCTGGTAGGTTGCATACAGCACCAAAGTAGACAGGATTTATAAAGATGTCATTAAAGAATGTGACAATCTAGGCTGCAGGAGACAGTAAAAAAAAAACAGTCCCACTTAATAACTTTCCTGAATCTTACATGATGTTTTTCAGTGTAAGCAAAACAAGGACTGTTAATCAAGTGGCAAGTCAGCTGCTGCTCAGAAAAAGGGGTGCAATGCTGTATGCGATCCTTAAAAAATAAGAACCAAGAAGAAGTTGTGATCTGCTGCAGAGAGCTGAGGGTGCGTCTTGGTCTTCAGATTAATTTAGGTAAATTTAATTTATCAGTAAATCACCTATGATAGGATGTTGGAGAGACATAAACAGGTTGTAAGTGTGGATGGGAAAAATATATACACAGCAAAACAAGCTGGTTGGGTATGTGGAGAAGTGTATTGCTGGAAAATCCTGTGAGACACTTCATACTAGCTGCAGTATCACGTATAAACTTGTGTCACATGCTGTTGATCAGGCAGAATTCAAATGCTGAAAGGACTAAGCTGTGGCAGAGTCTCTGGCTTTGTGTGATTGCCAAACAACCCAGTATGGAGCACTTGGTAGTATCTTACCATCTATCTTCTACTTGTTATGACTACATAGTGCTGTTTCCTGGCAATTTTGAGGTTATTTGAAGGGCTCTGGAGAAGGGAACCTGACTGGCATACAGCACTGGAATGGACACAGCAACTGCTGGAAGATGCCAGAGGATTCACAGAGAAGAGCAGAAAGCAACAGAGAGAAGCAGAAGTGAACAAGCATGGAGTGTAAAGATGGAACAGAGGTGTACCATTAGGGTATAGTTTAAGATGTTACCTAGGGATGGAAGGACCTGTGGGAAGCTGAGGAGTGTATCAGTGTTCTTTGCTTAGCATGGCAGATCTGTTTATCTAATTCTTTTATCTGTGGTATTTCTAGAAGTAATGTGCAAGCTGTACTGCAATGTAGAGACAAGCAATAAAGGCAGTTCAGCTGCTAGGATCTGTAGATGCTGATGCCTGAGGTCTCTCATAATCTGGTGTGTGGCCAGCAGGAGAGGATGAAGCATAGTAAAGGAGAGGAGAGGACAGCCATAGTATGCTTGGTTTACAGCTGTCAAACAATAGTGGTTTTTGTTTGGGAGTGAGCTTGGGTTAAAGCTCTTCAGACCTATTTGCCTAGGGCAAGGCTCCAGGCTGGAATGCTGTTAGGAATTTACAGCTTAAAGCTCCTTGGCAGCAGTTGCCATTTTTCAGCTTTTGTGTCAGTGGAGCAGATTCCTGGGAATGGTAAGGGAAATCTCAGAAGGTATTTGTGAGACACCTGGGAGATGCATGTAGGGATGGGGAGGGAGTCTGGGAGAAGTCAGCAGGGTGTCATGGATCTGTAGCAGACCTGCCAAGGTATGGGAGGCTGTACTCAGTTTCTTTACCTCCTCTCAACCTGTTCCCATCTTTTCCTCCCCAGGGGTGAATCCTCATGTTCTTGGGAGTTTGCAACTTTTGTCCAAACTCCACGACTGTCTCCTTCCCACTTCATAGCTGTCTTCCTCTATCAAGTCGATTTTACCTAGAAAAAACCCTCCTTGTGGCTTTGTTGTGGCCTCTAATTATTCTCTGCTGAAAAGAAAACAATGTTGGTGTGTCTTCTGTTACAGAACAAAGAGGGGGCAGAAGGTGGGTGAGGATTATTTAGGCCAGAACAGCAGGTTCTGTCTCCCAAGTCATAGGCAAAGTCCCTTACAGTCTTCAGCTGCCTCTAGTGAGCTGATGTCATTTAAGTAGTCACACTGATGTCAGAAGCTCGCAGTTCAATCTTCATTATCTTCCTATGTAGTTGTCAGAGATGTATCTTTTGTCAGGTAAAGCAAAATCAGCAAGTGTTATTAAGAAAACATGATTGGTAGAAGTAGCAGAACTAACCTAATACGAGAATACTTGCCCCTGTTATACCCATCATCAAGCAGCACTTTAGAATAGACCACCAACCAATAGGCTGATCAGTAAAGATCAGCCAAACTGAATGGTGCTCTCTGCCTCATAAAACTCATCTACCTCAATTTGAAGGGCAGTAGCAGAGCCCTACCTTCAGAGACATCTGGGACCAAGCTTGTGTAGCTGGAACCAGCACGATTAATGTTACTACTCCTGATTACTGACAACCACTGGTCCTGTCAGCAAGGAAAGGGGAAGTAGAGATAGCCACTCTTCTGTAACTCTGTAGTGTCCTTTGCATTATTAATTACCCTTTAACAGAGGTGATGAATAGCCACACTCCTTCCCACATATCCAATTATTGCATAATAATTAATGTTTGCATTTAGCCCATCCTGACCTAAACCACAAGATGCTGAAGTCTCTCGTGTCAGTTCAAGACTGCCTTGTAGGTTTCTAAACTGGGACTAATTAATGGTAGGCAATTCCTGCACACTCTCTCCAAGCTCCTCTCCCAGTTTCTACTCTTTCCTTTTTAAGTCTGGTTCCTAGTGCAGTGCTGGTCAGGCAGGCGTGGCTATTGAATACATCAGGATCATAGCTCAGTGGAAAGAGACCTGATAGGCACACTAGCCTCTTTTGTCTCAACACCTTTAGGTGTATATAGAGGCTACATTTATGCAGCTTTGCATCTAGTTTAGATGAGCAACATTTAGTTCCTAACTGAATGTACATGGATGGAATAAGACATTTTTCTCTTCATTCCAGATCTGTTTTCTATCCAAACTAAAATCTTGGCCAGTTGACCTATCCACCTCATTGATAATTTCCTCTGTCTCCTAGCATAAATAAGCCACAGCTGTATGTGTTTCTTGCAAGTTATCCTGACTTAGATGACTAATCAGTTCTTCATTCATAACTTTGGTGTTCTCAGGGTCCTAATATCCATGCAGTGTGTAAAACTGGATGGTTCTTCCCCTCAGTTATCCCTAAAATAGTTCAGTCTTCTTGAAAAATTGAAACTTATCTGGACTTGTCTCATCCCATAGCTTTATTAATGAAAGATTGGTTTCAGGCATTGGAGAGGGTCTTTGTTCCCTCTCCTGGTTTTCAAGGAAGTTGGTTCCTATCTTTGCTCAGATAATTCTCCCATAATACTTTGTCTATCTGAGTTTCAACTCATGCTTCAGAATTCTTTCTTCCTCACTAGTCTTGAAGTCTGAATTGTCCTTTACTAACATGCAAGGCAGGCCATTTTAAATGTTATCCTTCTTTCAGTCACTCTCAAAAACTATCTGTGGGGATAGGCTTGTCATGGCCGGAGTTTAGTTGCAGAGATTCTGGGATTTACACTCACTATAGTAGCCACACCTCTCTGCATCTACCTCTCTTTTTCCTAATAATTAAATCGCAAAATCTCTGTGATCAAGAACATTGTCATATTGCTTTGTATTTAGAGTAATTTCTATTATGACTGGCTTATCATTCATGACTGGAATTCCTAGGTGTTACAGAAATACAGATTTTTTTTTTTTATTTTATTCATGTATTCATTTAAAAATACCATGTGGTTTTAGGCATTACTTCAGATTTTAGTGCAATATTCCTGAGAGGAAATGTAAAATGTCAGTGGTTTGGGATTCTATCCACAAAATTGTTTCTCCATTGCTCAAATTGCCATGGAATCCTTCTTCTTGTTTGTAAAACCAATATTCTACACTTTTAGTGTTTATATGGACCCACACTACAAGATCATAGACTGGATCAACCTTCACTGCAAGAATGCTGTGATATTAGGACAGAGCAGTTTCAAAACCTCAGCAACTGTGTATTCTTTTAGATACTTAAAGTAATAGATTTTCTAAGCTGTATAATCTCACCAGATTCTTAAAGGACACCATCTGTCTGTACCACTACAAAAGTCCAAGTTGGCCCTCCCCCTCCCAAAAAAATGCAAAATGTTTTTGAATCATAACTGTTGAATGTATTTTCACAATTTAAGAAATTTAACTATATATTTGAAGATGAAAGAGCATTAACAAAATGGAGAAAGCAGAGTATGGGAATTTTCATCCCTAGACCTGATAGGAATGTGGAATTTGAGCAATGTTTGTCCTTTATTCCCTCAGCTCAGGAACACCATTCTTCTTGCACTAGGGACAAAAACATCTCTGGATGTACTGTGGGAATAACAAGACAGGATACAGAAATTAAATATTTACTTCTGGCCAAGTCCCACTCCATTTAGTGCTTTCCCAATTAAGAACATTACTAGCAGTAGATCTGATGAGCTTTCTCATGAACCTTCTTTCTACTGAACTATGACTTTCTAGTATCCTGCCAGCCCAAAGGACACAGCCCAACTGTAGGCAGCTGAGCTGCATCAGGGCCTTATATTGACAGCCCCAAAAGATGAGAAGAGCTCAATGTGTAGAGAAATCTGAGGCTCCATTAAAACCTTATTGCATGTTACTGCACATTTAAGATGATCTACAACACTCCATCTGGCTGGAGTATGCTACAGCCCACACGTATACAGGCTTGTTTTGCCAATGAAAACCCCTTATATTCTTGTGTACTCCCATTATTGTCCATCAAAGAAGTTTTGTTAGTATACTCAAAAGTGTTCCCTCTCTGCAAGCATCACTCACACTTCTATTTATATAATTTAGAAGTATAAATGTTTGCATATGTGATTTAAAGGAAAGGTATATATATATAAACCTATAAGAAGAAGAAATGAGAGATGAACCAATATTTACAGATAGTCCTAATGCAGAACCCCTTTGTAGGCAGGTGGGAAAAGTAGTGTTTCTTTTCAAAGCTGAAATCACAGAAACATTTACAAAGTAGAATGAGACTTTTGTTTAAATGCCTATTCTCTGTATCCACACAACCCCTGAAAGCTCTGCTAAGGTGAATTTCAGTTCTCATTCTGGATTTCAGGAAGATGCTGAGAAAAAAAAGTCCCACTCAAAATGTCTCATCTGATCTTGCTAGAACTGGTAGTTGAATGGGCAGAGTTCCCACTTGTCTCAGCTCTTCAATAAATGTATTTCTTTTGTACCCATGATGGCAGAAGGAGCCATTCTCTATATGTCATGTTGCTGGTGAGAGAAGCTTCCTACACTCTCAGAGATTGTAACTCCATCTCCTTTCTCAACAGTATCATTAAATCTTACACTGGCGTGGGTTTTTGTGGAAATCCCTCATGCACATAAATGAGTAAAATGATAATGACAGCAAACTGCCTCAGGCTCAAGTATCAGGATGCAGTTTCACAATTAGCCTAGGCTGGTCTCAGTCCGTTTTGCTGTATCCTTCCCCTATGCCCCACACCTGCCAACAGCAGAAGTGGTCTTACAGTTACACACAGACAGATCAGCCACCCTATTTGGCAAAACCAGCTGATTTGGAGAGAGGATAGTGTTTGTTTTCTGCTTAGGCAGGTCCCTTCCTTGACTATATAGCCTCATGAAAGCCAGTACCAACACACAGCAAGGGGCCAGGGGCAGGACATAAAGTTGTCCGTATCTTTAGCAGAAATGCAGATAACTTGTTAAAATCTCTCACTAAAAAACCCCTCTTAGAACAGATTGATAAAATTGAATTGTTGAAATTGCCAGGACTTGACAGTATCTATTCTTGAATTCCAGCATAGCTGAAATATGAAATTGCTGTGTTGCTTTTTGTGGTGTGCCACTTGTATTGGCTTGGGTAACAGAAGAATTGAAGATGGAGGCTTTGGGATATTTTTGGTAAACATAAGCCAGTATGGCTGATTTCTGTACCAAGAAAATAAACTAAAACTGTAACCAAAATTGGAACTAGCATTGCAGTAAGTGGCTAGAATAAGAAGAGTCAATATAGCTTTATGAGACAGAAGTTATACTTCAAAAATCTATTAGAGTCCTTTATGATGAGTGTATGAAAGCAAACAAGGAGCTGAGAGGGGTCCAGTTTGGTTTTCAAAACACCTTTGACCAGGCCCCTCAGTAAAGGCTCATAAAAAATTAAGTTTCTGATGAAGGAAGAGACAAAATCTGTGGTTTAGTAACTGTTTAAAAGCTGTGCAGCAGTGGATAAAAATACAACTGTTTTCATAACAAAGATTTGTTACAATTTCACTATTATTGGTCTTTTATTACTAAGTGATGCTGAAAAGGTGAAGACTACAATACAGTGATGAGGTTTACTGATGACACTAAGTTCTTTGGGATACTAAAATCAAAAACCAGCTGTAAAGTATTGCAGAAGGACACTACAAATTGCTGACTGAGAAAAAAAGCTAGCAAAATTAGGTTAACTTAAACAAATCCTAAATTTTCCATACAGGCTAATGTTTTCTGAACATCACTACCATTCAAGAAAGAGGCCATGGAATCATTTTGACCAGTTTGATTAAAATAGTCACAGTTCAAAGGTAAACCACAAGGAAGGAAACTGAGATTACACAGGAAAACACTGGTATAGCACTCTACTTTTCTCTATCTTGTATTTTTCTAGGTTACAAGGAGGAGCAAGAGGAATGATCAAAGTTGTGAAACCTTTCCATCTGAGGAGATAGTAAATGAAAAGTAAACAGACTAAGATGTTTCTATTTGGAGAAAGGGTATGTGAGAGGATACTATGGAAGAAATCTATAAAATGGTGAGTGGTGTTAGGACAGATAGAACAGTCACGTACAGCTTCTCACAATAAGAGAACTGAATGGAAGTCTGTAAAATTTTTGTTTGGCAGATTCAAAACACAAGAAGTAATTTTTCCCATAATGGAGAACTGAATGTAGAATACACATAGTGTTATGGTAATAAAAATGGGAATGGGTTAAAAAAGGAATCAGAGTAATTTTAGAGACAAGCCTATTGAAGACTATTATGCAGTGGTCTAGAAAGAAATCTCCAGCTTGGAATTATTGGGAGTTACAGGATATGCCCTGGAAAGAATCAATCTGTATGTCTAATGAGCTTTTCATAAGCACCTACAATTGGTCACTGTGGGGAAAAGGGAACCGAGCTATGAAGACCTTTGGTCTGGCCAAGTACAGACTTTTTAAATTCTACTTTCCAAACAGAGTAAATGACTTCATTGAGGGTTCTAATATCAACCAAAATTTGAGGTTAGCACAGGTAAAGGATATTTTAGATGTTACATCTAACTTGATATTGCTTTGATTAACAGCTATGAAATATCCAAAGGGCATTATTTGGCATCATTCAGGTGGCATTGGTCTTATGCCATGAATGCAACAAGCTTATGTATGAGACCAGAGCTCTTTCTCCTGGTAAACACCATGCCATATGTTTTTATCAGGCACTAATTTGGAGGAGAATTAATCTTAAGAAAGTTATTACGTTAGAGTGTCCTAGTTATGTCAAAGTATAGAGCTGGGGGCTTCTTCATTTATACAAATATTGCTAAACATTTAATTTCAGATTCTCAGTCTGGTGGATAATAAAAAATGACTACCCACCAAACTTGTAGCATTAAATGGAGACTTTATTTTTGGCAGCTCATTGGAAGGGGATTAATATTACTGGAATGGCTTTGTTTCTCAGCTATGCCTCCTTAAGAACAGCTTCCTCTGAACATATATTTCTATTTTATTGAGAAAAGGAAATACGGTATTAGAAATCAATGTTTTTAAAGGGTAATTTACAGAAATCTAATCTTGGCAGATGCTGAAATATTTTCAATTTAGAACAAATAGTATTTCTGTCATCCAGTCAGCTTTTTAAAATTAGACCATTACTCCTTGATAAGTTAATTACAAAACAGAAAGAGACTCAACCAATCTAAAAAAGTGTTATTAATGGAAGTATAGAGCACATGTCTAAAAGCTGGTTTTACTGATTTATGGGTGAAATTTTACTTTTCATATGAAAAACCTTGTCTCGAATGCCTTAAATCATAGGGAAAAATGCTCAATTTTTCACCCTATCACAACTAATTTTTTACACTGGTACACTGATGGACTACTGTTCTTCTGTGCTACCATCCATTATAAAAACTGACAGCATCATAATTGAAATTATTTAAAATATGGTGGATTTAGATAATTCTTTACTTCGGTATAGATATGACTACACAAGAAATGCTGCTACTGGAAATTGCTAGGATGAGTTACCAAAATGGAATTATTGCTCAGCAGGCCATACTCCTCTGGGGGTAGGAAATGAAAAATACCATAAATTCCTTTGAAATGTGGAAAGATAGGAAGAATGGAAGGAACATTTTTTGTTGTTTCTGAGGCCTGGTCATCTTTAGTCAAATCTCTGTGCTCCAGGGCAGATGCCCAGTATCACAGACTGCAGAAGTTTCACACTGCACAGACACTTAGGCTCCATGCAGACATGAGAAGCATGGAGTATGTTGCAACTATGAGTTGAAATGTCTCCAGGTCCACCAGCTGAATCCTGGTCTCACTAAAATCCCTGGTAAGTCTTTCAATCAGTGGAATCACAATTTCACTCCAGGGATTTTGGGTAAAAACAAGTAAAACTCGCCAAAAAAATTACTGTGGGCGATTAGCTTCATAATATCTGCCCATGGATGTCTCTGTGCTGCATGGCTGCATTTTGTGCTTCTTGCAGTAACAACCTGCCAAGGTGCCCAGTGGAAATCCTTCCTGGTTAGTGCTGGGGTCTGAGCCAAAGCCATGTCAGGTATCAGTCAAACAATTTAACAATATGAATAGTGGCAAGCTAAAACCCAAACTAAATGCCCTGCCTCTGAGTAGTTTACCAGTATAGAAACTGAGCCACAGAGGCAACTGGTTTGGCAATCTCTTTGGGAAACTGTCACTTAGCGGTGTGTGATGACTGGTAAACCCACTTCAACTAAAATCCTATTTAGCCTCAAACAACAGGAATAAAATATAATGGAAGACGAAAAGGTTTTAAACTGTACTAAAAGTATCAACATACATCTTTCTTACAACAAATGTTGTTGTCCTAAAGTGGACAGGCAGATTTAGCCTTTCCAGATACTGTACAATTCCACAGAATTTCACAGAACCGGTCAACTGCAGAAAAAGCCTGGCCAACTGCAGAAAAATGGCAGAGATAACTAATCTGGGTTATGGGAGATGTTGTTTCTATGAAACTGTAGAGTATCTGAAAAGGCTGAATCTACTTGTCCACTTCAGGACAGAAAAAGTTTTGGGGTAAGAAAATATATATTACATTATAAATATATTGAACAGTACTGGCCCTAGAATTGAAACTGGAGGAGCACTACTGGTAACTGGTCGCCAGCCAGGTATAGCCCCATTAACTGCAACCCTTAAACTGTTGGACACCAGGTAAAATCATAAGAAATTTAAAGGAAAAATGTTTGCAGGAGATTTCTATACTTCAAATACAGAAAAAAAAAAGCATGGGATAGAGCAACCCCCTCCAGCTTTCAGTATATACTGTCCAGTGGTAAATCTAAGGACCTAGAACTTTTGAAAAACAGGTAATTTTTTTAATTACATGTGAATTCTCCTTTATACAAGGCCATATTACTCCTCACATCAATACTATCTCAGAGATAACAACTGCCTATAAATTACAATATCGCTCACCTTCCTAAATGTGGAGGAAAATTTAGGCAGACACTAGGCTTTGGCTGTACGCCTCCACCCCCTCCTTTTGATGAACAGCAACACAGGTACCACTGAAAAGTTTGTAACTTTATACTGTTACATGAGAATAACCCAGGGACACAATTATCTCCATTATCAGAAAGCATACAAGCGCAGTGTCCAGCATCATCTCCAGATGCTTAGCCACATCCCAGGGGACACTGTAATAGGAGAGCTAAATTTGACCAGTCTGACCATTTCTTTAAAAGTTGTATAGCAGGTGATATCTTTTAGTATGTATACCTGCAATTACGAAGGTAATTAGGTGGCACATTCCGGGTGAGCCCAAGGAGCACCTTAAATTAAATCCCTGAGCCTCACAATGTTATTGTAATTAGCTGTCTGAGTAGGTTTTTTTTGTTTATTGCATCTACCCTGTGTGCTAGGGATGAAAAAACATAATTTGACAGAAATATTTTAAATGGTTTATTACTGAGATGAAGGCTTATTTTCATTTTTCCCAGACCACATGTTCTTTCTTTCCTTTGCTTTTAATTACAAATATTCACAGCAGTGAGAATGTTTAAAACTTGAGAAGATATTTTATTGTCTATTGCTTGCAAAATAAAGTAATGATGTTTGCCCCTTCTATTTAGAGGGAAAACCTGTCTGGTGATGTTTGTTTTATCTTCACCTTACAAAGTAACATAGTTTAAAGACCCTTAAGGACAGGCATGTTAGCTCTGCAGTTTTGATCTGGGATCGTTCCAGGTTAGACCATTTTCCAAACACCACTAATTACCACTGTGGAACAGTTTGTATTTTGATATAAATGAACTCCCTTTCTTTAAGTGTGAACTTCTAATTTCTACAGTGGAAAAAAGGAAGTCAGAAGTTCTATATGAAAAATAAATATAAGCTGCATTGAAAATTTGACTAATTATTTATTAGTTCACATTAATATGCATTAGGGAAGTTACTGGGAGCATGGCAGCAGCATTCTGAGTCCAGGTTCCAGTTCTGTCCCTTGCCTTGTGGCTTTTCAGCAGCAGTTTCTTGCTTCATGGTGAAGCAGTGTGCAAGGTCAAGTGGGACTGCATTTGACTCTGTATTTATCATAGTTATTAACGTAGCAGCTCAAAAGGTCAAGTGACTTGCATGAAATTCTCAGTATTTATTTGAAGAAAAATGTGTCTCTGGCCTTGTGCTTCTGGAGAAAAGATGAAAATGTAAATGTACACAGGCTTAAGAAGTGAAAGGATACTTAAAAGTCATTAAAAGACACAATAAACATGAAGAATCTTTGATCTGATGTTATGATCTGGGGGATGAATTCATGATTTTTGAATCAGGGATGGGAAAGATGAGGATGGACAATAGAAAAAGGGGTGGAGCAATCTTCCAAAATACAGATTATTTAAACAGCTGTTGTCACATGTTTAAAACTTGTGAAGATATTTTATTGTCTGTTGCTTGCAAAATAAAATTATGAAGAATCCAAGCAGCGTTGTAGACTATGACCTTTCTGGCTGTTATCTGACTTTAGTCAGTTGTAATTTTACTAACCAATAACTTGACACCTGTTGTTCAAAGTAGATCAACAAAACCCATATCTGCCCATGTAACACAGAATTTCTCTTCCACAAGGGCCTCAAGACCTGTTTCAGGGCTCTTCCATCTCTGAGTATCCATCACACAGTCTTAGTGATGGAAGCATGGGGTAGAAATCACGGTATCTTGCACAGTGAAGTGGGGAAGGAATGGCTATGCTGCTTCCATCATCTGCCATTACCCAGTGGATCTGTCAGCTGTTGCTGGAGGAAGGTTTCAGTCCTCACGTTCAGCTAGAATGAAGGTGACACAGTGAGTAATCACAACTGCAGTTGCACACTCCACTTCTGGCTTGGAGTTTTTGTACTGGCCTTCAAAAGATGGGATGCAGAGTCTCTATTTTCTACTATGAGTTCTAAAAAATACTGCGTGATGATGGCCTGTAAGTGGTTAATTTATTTTCTCAAGTTTCACTATTGGACTGATTTATAAAACTAATTTACAGTGTGTAATGCAGCTTTCATTCTTTTAATAGTTCTCTGTAAGAAGGCGGAGTGGGTTATTGGGTTTTT